TATACCAGTGCACTCCAGCTTAGGCAACAGACCAAGGCTTTGTCTTAAAAAAAAAAAAAAAAAAAAAAAAAATTTGAGTAATTTCTTTTTTTTCTTTTTCATTAATCTGAGATTTTTTTCTTTAAAAATTATTTATTTATTTGTTTTTGAGACAGAGTCTCACTCTGGCAGCCAGGCTGGAGTGCAGTGGCACAACCTCGGCCCACTGCAACCTCTGCCTCCCAGATTCAAGTGATTCTCATGCCTTAGACTCCCATGTAGCTGGGACTACAGGCATGCACCACCACGTGCCAGGCTAATTTTTTGTTTTTGTTTTTGTTTGGTAGAGACAGGGGTTTTACCATGTTAGCCAGGCTGGTCTCAAATTCCTGACTTCCTTGAGATGGAGTCTCACTCTGTACACCCAGTCGGGAGTGCAGGGGTGCTATCTCACCTCACTGCAACCTCTGCTTCCTGGGTTCAAGCATTTCTCCTGCCTCAGCCTCCCAAGTAGCTGGGACTACAGGCAAGCGCCACCACACACCGCTAATTTTTGTATTTTTTTTTTAGTAGAGATGGAGTTTCACCATATTGGCCAGGATGGTTCTGAAATATTGACTTTGAGATGTGTATGGCACAAGCAAGCAGACACAACCAATTGTTATCAAAATCATTATCACTGATCTTGAATTTTACCAATACGTGATCAAATGGTTACAGTATAACAGCTGGAATAACAGATAACATCCTGCACCTATGGAGGTAACAGTTTTCTACTAGGAAGCAGTGATGTACTGGAAACACTATTTCCAAGCTTCTTTTCTTATTTGTAAACAGAAATGCCATCAGCTACCTTACAGGATTACTAGATTAATTCAAACCTTTTTTCTAGGGAGAGCTCCCACTTACAAACACCACGTTACCAAAGGTGGGAAAGCTTATTTGGCAAAAAGAAAGGACTAGCAGTTTCTTTTAGATTAGAAGAGACATCATCATCATCACTAATATTTATGAGTGGGTACCATGTGCCAAATATTAAATGCTTAACATATATAAACTCGTTTAATCTTGACAACGATCCTGAAGTAGACACCATTATCATACTCATTTTGTAGATGAGGAAATTGAGGCAGATAATAGTAAATAACTAGCACAAAGTCACTCTGAAAGGTAGTACCAACACAAGTGTCTCTTACACAATTGCGTGAACATCAGAATTTGTTTCCGGAAATAACATGTGGATTTTAGGAGAAAGGAAGGAACAAAGAATACTCTGGTTATAAACACTGGAAGAAGTGCTATAGAAATCTGAACACAAAAAATATCCCTTGGTTTAAGTTACTGCTAGCAGGTAAGTTAAAAAAAAAAAAAAAAATCCCTTTGTGATCAAACCTTCTTGAGTGGGAGGGAGAAAAGTCTGTCCAATACCAAAGCGTTCCCAATCCTTTCTTTCTTTAGATTCAATGGCCCTGCCCTTTCACTTTCCAGATAGTTTTATTATCTGTGTCCTCCTGATTCCTCAACCATATAAAGGTAGTGGTCAAGAGCATAAGCTGTACAATCAAATGTCAATAATGGTTGTATCATTTATCAACTTGCTTATCAGCTTATGTACAGAAGTGGCAAGTTATAAACCTCTGTGTCTCAGTTTTTTCAATGTAACATGAGGATAATAGTAGCATCTATCTCAAAGAGTTGTCAGAATTCTCTGAGGTGATATATATAAGGAACTCAGAACAGAACAAGGGACCTAGAAAAGCTCAAAAAATATAACTACTGCTATTATTAAATTCCTCTAACAGTGTAGTATGCCCAAAACTTATGGTGCTACAAACTTTCATGCAAGTTGGCTGTTTGGAAAACTGAGTGCTTTCTTTCCAAAAAATGTTTCAAGTGGGGCCCTTCTCTGTTTTCACTGTCCTGTCCTAGTGCAGATCCTAACATGTAGCTTTGCAAAATTGCCTACAAACTCTTTGGCAGTTACCATCTGGTAGCAGTATTTATAAATGTCTGTCACCATATTGCTTAAAAGTTCTCAGTAGCTCCCTGCTGCCTACAAATATACAAGACCCTTTATAATCTACTTTTAACCAGTTTCCAGATTTACTTCTAGTCACTTCTCTGAACAACTGGAGCCATAACAGAAGATTACTTTGTCTGCAATAGGCCGTGAATTTTAAGAGACTGCATGCCACTATATATGCTTTTAGGTATGAGAAAACTGCCCTCTATGCTCCCAGGCCAAAAAAATTGTAAATAACTAGCACAAAGTCACTCTGAAAGGTAGTACCAACACAGGTGCCTCTTACACAATTGCGTGAACATTATTCTAAAGCCTAGACAGAATGCCACCTTATTGATTTATTCAACAAAACAATTTACTGAATACTAAAATATGCAAAGAAGACCCTGTGAAACTAAACAAGACATGGTTTCAACATTTGGGGAACTTATCTCTGTAAGGAGAGAGACATGTTAATATAATGATAACATAGTAATATTATCAGTAATACATGTAAGATGCAAGTAAGCAATGCCTAGGTTGGGTTCCAGAGGATATGGATTTCTGTCTCCATCCTTACCTTTCCTAAACTGAACCATGATCTTGAAAACTACCTTTTAATTATACCTAATACATTATGTTACAGTCCTGTGTTTAATGTCTTTCCTAAAACTGTAATTTTAATGCAGACATTTATTCATCCTTTGTATCCTCAACACCTAGAGGGTGACTGGAACCTGAGGGAATATAAGAATTGTTCATTGAATTGAATTAGATAAATTAGGTTTCCATATTAGCTAAAAACCTTCTTAATCCATAATGCAGCTGATCTAAAATAGCAAGAGAACCTTAAAACCTAATCAGCATTTATAATAATACGCTGAAACATCAGAACAGTTCCAACTTGGAATTATCCAGTACTTGAACAGAAAAATCCAATTTGGCTCAGTGCAATAGCTCAGGCCTATAATCTCAGCACTTTGGGAGGCTGAAACGGGTGGATCACTTGAACCCAGTAGTTCAAGACCGCCCTGGGCAACATGGCAAAACCCCATCTCTACCCAAAAAAGCCAGGTACAGTGGTATGTGTCTGTGGTCCTAGCTACTTGGGGGCACTGAGGCAAGAGGATCACTTTGGGGGGCAGTGGAGGAGGTCAAGGTTGCAATAAGCCATGTTTGTGCCACTGCAGTCTAGCCTGGGTGACAAAGCAAGACCCTGTCTCAAAAAGAAAAAAGAAAAAAGAACCAATTTGTAAGCAGTACTGACATTTTGCTCCAAATATAGTACTCTTCCTTTTTTGAACAATACTGTTCAAACTAGTCTAATGAGTTCAAAAAGTATCAGAACCAAAAGTTCTAATTTCTGCTCAAGAAATAATTTATTTTCCTTAACAATGTGGCAGGAGATGGATCCACAAGGCAACAGGAAGTGGGGATACAGCAGTTTCTAGTTTTATGGAACTTATACTCCAGTTGGGAAAGATATGCAGCAAATATATACATCAAATGGTTGGGCAGGGTTGAAAAAAAAATAAAGCAGGGCAATAAGTCAAAAAGCAAAGAAAGGAAGGCAGGAAGAAGAGTAGTGGTGGTACACTAGATAGGGTAATCGGGGACAAGTCTCTCTGGTAAGGGACTGGATCAGAGGCTGAAGGAAGTGAGGGAGAGACATGCAAGCATTTGAAACCTATTCTAGGCAGTGGAGCCAACAAGTGCAAAAACCATGGTGTGGGAGCATGTTTAGGGTGTTAAACAAACACAAGCATACCGATATGGCTAGATTAGTTAGTGGTTCGTGAGGGGCAGACTGGCCTACAACAGACAACCTGGCCCAAATCATACAGGCTAAGGATTTTGGATGTTATATACTGAGATGGGAAGCCACTGGATCATCTCAAGCAGACTGAGGACATGATTAGAAATATGTTATAAAAGAATAGCTCTGTTTTATGGGTATCACCTAGTACAAAGGAGCAATAACTGGGCAGTAGGAAGTCAGGGATTATCTGCAATTCCTTGCAACCTAAGAAGCTGGTGCCAAAAATGAGGAGCAACAGACACAGCATGGTTGAAAGCCTCAAAACACATCCTTCCATGTTTTATTATCAAGCGTCTCTGAGAGACATAGTTATCAAACGCTACCAGTTTTTAGTCGACCTTAACCACCAACCTCTTCTTTCACTTACTATTGTTTAGTCTGTAAATCACGCACACATCTACCACACAAGAAAAGTCAAGTACAAGAGACTTCTTCCTCTTACCT